TTAGTCCAACCCTCTCTCAAAAGGACAGCTTAGATCTAGACTCAGCCATTGAAAACCACCTCAAATATTTATTTTATATTTTTATTTTATGTATATTTTTGTAAGCTAGATGAATTTCTTTGTGGCCTAAGGTGTATAGGAGGGGTCTTTAAAAAGTTCAGGGAAAGAGTCATATTATCTTTTAATTCCATTTTTCCATGAACTTTTTGAAGTACCCTCATATAAATATGCTTGGAAAGAGGAGATAATTAATATTTCTTAAATATATATATATATAGCAAATATGAAATAAAAGAGTAGAAAGAAAATTCATAACACTATATGTTTAGTCAAACTTACAATTCATTTAGTTTTTGGAGAGGTGCAAAAGAATTTTCATTTAAGTGATTAATTTTGTTTTTCCTCAGGACCCTGAAAGTAAAAAGAAAAACATATTGTAATTTCTTGAGGTAACTGATACATGAATTACTAAGGAGATTAACAGTCTGCAAAAACAAAGACAGTGAATATATAGTGCGTTTTCACATCAAAATATTTGTAGTATGATAAATTAACCAATTTAATTTTAATCTTAAATTTCCCATATTTTTTAATGATGATAATAATAAAATCTACTTCAAATTTTTAAGTGAAATAAGGAAGAACTTTTCAGGGAAAATAGTGAAATCCTCATCTCTTCAGAACACAGACTGAATATCTTGCAACCAAGAACACAAGGAGCTGTTTTAGACTCGGGTCTTCAGTCTGCGTAATATGTCTGTTTAACAAAATACTCCACATGCCATCGGACTTAAGTTCATTTAGTAGTTGATGTGATTTAAGGTACAGTTGCCTAAAGCAGTCTGTTCTAAGCTGGTCCGGTTCAGAAGAATCTCTAGTTTGGTATGTCAAATCAGAATGGAACTCTTTTTTAAAAAACATTATTTATTTTGACACATTGTACATGCTTTTGGGGTACAAACTGATGTTTTGATATATATATACACGTATGTTGTATAATGATTTGGTCAGGGGAGTTAATGTAGCCATTACCTCATGCATTTATCATTTCTTTGTGGTGAAAACATTTGAAAGCCTCTCCTTTAGGGATTATGTAACATACAACACTTAACCATTAACCTCAGTCACCCTGCTGTGCAATAGAACATCAACTCTTATTCTGCCTCCCTAATTGGAATCTGTGCCAGTCGGCCAACCTCTTCCTGTTTTCCTTTTTCCCCTCCCTTCCCCAATGTTCTACTCTCTGCCTCTATAACATCAAATTTTTTTTTTTTGATTCCACATATGAGTGAGGTCATGTGGTATTTGTCTTTCTGTACCTGGCTTACTTAATGTGATGACCTTCAAGACTATCCATGTTGTCACAAATGACAGGAATTCATTTATGGCTGATTAGTATTCCATTGTGTGTGTGTGTGTGTGTGTGTGTGTGTGTGTGTGTATATACATATATGTCACATTTTTAAAACTCCATTCATCCATTGTTGAATACTGTAATGGATTGAATTATGTCTCCCTAAAACTCACTGAAGCTTGAATTGTGTCCTCCAAGTTTTATGTGTTAGAAACTTGGCCCCCACTGTGACTGTTAAGATGGTGGGAAATCCTATTATAGTAATTGAAAGGTGGAGCCTTGAAGAGGTGATTAGATTGTAGGACCTTGCAGTAAGTAGTGAATGGATTAAAAATGGTGGTCAGGGGCACGGGTCTGAGGGCTTTAAATGAAGAGGAGAGTCTGTCTTTCTCTCTCTCTGCTGTCTCTGCTTCCACCATCTTGCAATGTGAGAACTCTGGGTCACTGTCACCACCACCAGATGGGCTTTGGACTTCCCAGCCTTGGAAACTGTAGCAATACATTTCATTTTCTGTATAAATTACCCAGTTCTTTGTGTTTTGTTATGAGCAACAGAAACAGACTAATACAAATACTTAGGACGATTCCATATTTTGGCTACTGTAAATAGTGCTGAAATAAAAATGGGAGTGCAGATATCTTTTTTTCTTTTTTTTTTTTTCTTCCTTTTTGTCTTTTTTACTGACCAGTAACGGGATCGCAACCCTCGGTGTTGCGCCCGCACCACACTCAGCCAGTGAGCGGGAACCGGTCTCCACATGGGATCCGAACCCTCGGCGGGAGCGCTGCTGCGCTCCCAAGTGGCACACTCTCCAGTGCACCACTGGGACGGCCTGCAGATATCTCTTTGACATACTGACTTCATTTCCTTTGGGTATATGCTGGATCAAATGGTTGTTCTATTTTTAATTTTTTGAGAAACCTCCATACCGTTTTACATAATAGCTGTACTGGTTTACTCTCCCACCAACAGTGTGCAAGTATTCCCTTTCTCTACATCTTTGCCAACACTTATTTTCTTTTCAGGCTATAACTCTTTCTGTACTGATCTCATGTATTATCAGGAAGCATAAAGGATTAACCCATAGAAAAGTTTGAAAGTGTTTCCAATTCTTTAAACATGTATGACATTTCTCCAAGTTGACTTTGTCCCTTCCTTATGCATTTATTTCCTCCCAGCACTCCAAACCATTACCAGCTCTCCCATTATCCCTGGACCAGAAAAAAAGCACAAATGCTTGCCAGGAGGAATCTCACAAATGATTTTCTTACACAGAGGTTTTCTTAAAAATAAATACAAATAGAACAGAAAAGAAATTCTAAGTTTTTCAGATATCTATTTGGTTGTGTCTTTTAGGTGCAATTTGGTTTCCTTTGGGCAATTAGGTATGAACTATTTTGCATGACTGATATAAAGCATTCTGCATCTGAAGATTTTGAACTCACTTAGCAGAAGAGTTCATACTTTTTGGTGGCTCAGAACCCATCAGAATGGGGGGCATAATTGGAGAAAATATATTTTATCAGAGGGAGCTATTGTACTGCTTATACACAGGGGTCCTATGTACTCTAGGATGATGGTTTTCAAACTTTTCCTGTGGTTAACTCACAGTAAAAAACCTAGTTTATATTGGGACATAAAACACACACACACACACAC